AAGCTTAGTGTTTTTTCTGGTTTCTTATAGTACAACAAGTCTAAGGGCCCTTTAACCTTTTTGGCAGTAGGATGAGAGGCAGCTGATGTTAGGGGCCTTTTTCCTTTTCTGATATTCAGAATTTCAGTGAGTTCTTCCATGTCATCTTCATCTTCTTGCAACTCCATGTAAGCTTCTTTTTCCCTTTTTTCTTTTCATATGCTTCTTTCAGTAAAAGTGTAACATCAGCCGGAGTTTTCCTGCAAGCTCCTACATCTCCTCTTATTCCCATTTGGTGTCTTTTGGCTCTAGTTATTCCTCCGGTAGTAGTTTTGCCACAAAAATCACATGTGACTGTCTTCGTGTCATTTAAATCTTTCAAACTGTTCCACTCCCAAGCCGGGTCAAGGTTGGCTCCAGTGGGCTTGAACATGGCAGTGGCAGTATACTCCATGCTTAATGAGAAGAACAAAAGCCTTCAACAAAGAAAAGTTTCATCTTGTAGAAGATGTTGCAGCACAAGTACAGGAATTAAGGAAGAGTATAGTTTATTTAGGGGAAGAGGCGATTGTACTGGAAAGAGGCGAAGTGGAAGGAAGAGCAGTCATCGCAGCAAAAAGAATGAGAAGTCATCGCAGCAAAAAGAATGAAAGACCGAGTTCAAAATATGGGGCCGTTTGTAAGGTATTGGTCTGCGCACGTGTAGAAGGGTTTACTGTGAATCTGTGATTGATATTTTATATCAAAAAGACTAATCTACCCTTAAACTTGAGCCCTAAATAAACTAAACGCAGAAAAAAATTTCAAAACGTTGAAGGAAGAAATCGCGCCGCTATTGCGGCCGCCTTTCTTCCAATCGCACGAGCGCTATTGCGACCTCCTTTGACGCTTCACCCAAACGCAACGCTAGAGGACTCCAAGTAGCGCCAGGTCAGTCAGCCGCTCCGCTAAACCGCTATAGCACGCGAAAGCGCCACTATTCACTTCATTGATACATACATTACATACATATATGTATATGTATATATACATATACATATAAAAAATGCAGTTGGTATGATATGGACAAAATATACATATACATACATATATGTTTATGTATGTATATATATACATACATAGAGGATGGAATGATCCTGTCCAGCAGCCCCCGGTCCGAACGCCGTCCGAACATGGCCATTTGGGGCACTTCCCGGTGGAATTTTTTGATGAATTTTTTTGAGCATGTTTCTGATCAAGTCTAGTTTGTCTATACCAAATTTCAGCTCAAAATTCGATCGGGAAGGCATTCAAATCATTTTTGAAATTGACTGCGTCTAAATATACATATAAAAATGCATTCAACTTCAAAAAATGATTTGAATGCCTTCCCGATCGAATTTTGAGCTGAAATTTGGTATGAACAAACTAGACTTGATGAGGAACATGCTCAAAAAATTTCATCAAAAAATTCCACCGGGAACCGCCCCAAACGGCGGTGTTCGGACCGCGGCTCCCGTCCGAACGTTCGGACCTGAACATTCTTGTACATACATATACATATAAAAAATGCAGTTGACTGCGCCAAAATATACATACAAAAATGAAGTCAACTTTAAAAAATGATTTGAATGCCTTCCCAATTGAATTTTGAGCTGAAATTTGGTATGGACAAACTAGACTTGATGGGGAACATGCTCAAAAAATTTCATCAAAAAATTCCACCGGGAACCGCCCCAAACGGTGGAGTTTGGACGGCAGCTGGACAGGGGAGGGCTGGACTTGAGCATTTCTGTATATTTGTGTGTGTGTGTGTATATATATATATATATAGCAGTCTTCTTGTCCAGCCGGCCTGACGGGAACCGCTGTCGGGACGAGGGCATTTCAAGTCCTCCCCGGTGGAATTGTTTGTTGAATTTTTTTGAGCATGTTCTTCATCAAGTCTAAATAAATTATTTACGAACACTGCACATTTAATATATATAAATATTTTTCAAAAAATCATTTGACTGCCTTCCCAATTGAATTTTTAGCTGAAATTTGGATGGATAAATTAGACTTGATGAAGAGCATGTTCAAAAAATTTAATCAAAAAATTCCACCGGGAAGTGCCCGAAATGCCCTCGGCCGGACGGCGGTTCCAGTCAGGCCGGCAGGACATGAAGATTTATATATATATATACACACACACATATAGATATACATACATATGTATGTATGTATGAAGCTCTCTTTATGAGCCAACTTGAGCATTTCTTAGTGACATTGACAAGTCGTACACCTCATGTTATTAGGAAGGCTTTTCATGTTGTGAACTCGGATGCAAGTAGATTTTATGAATTTTCCATTGAGGGTGCAAATGCTTAATAAAACGTTGTATTTTTAATATTGTACTCACTAAATTGCACCTAACTAGATTTTCACTTGTGAAAAGATTTAAAGTTTTACTTTGTCAATACAGCTTCTTTTTATTATATTCAATCTATTTTGAAAAGATTTAAAGTTTTACTTAGACAATGCAATTTTTTTTTTCTGCGTTTTTAAATATTAATTTTCTATCACTAATTTAATTTCTACGAATCATAACAAGCTTTAGTGTAGTTTTAAGCATGTAAATTATAACTTTCTACACTAAACTAATATAGGGAAAAGGGTCAAATAGGGCCTCAAACTACATAAAAAAGGTCAAATAAGGCCTTATATAGGAGGTTCTCTCCGGCTGTCGCCATTGGGGCGGTTCCCGGTGGAATTTTTTGATAATTTTTTTTGAGCATCTTAGTCATTAAGTCTAGTTACTCATACCAAATTTCAGCTAAAACTTCAATCGGGAAAGCATTTAAATAAATTCTTGAAGATAACTGCGTAGTTATCTTTAAGAATTCATTTTGGGACGGAGGTAGTATTATATAGCATATACTTGTGTATGTTGTGGACTTGCCGGTAGTATTTTATAAATATGTATGTTGTGGTATACGGTTGATAAATATGTATGTTGTTTTCAATTATTCATTGATGGTTTCAATTCTAGGTAATATTCTATTTAATTAGTAATATATAATATACATAATCTATAATAAGTTACAAATTAAATATAGTGTAAGAGAAAATTATATATAATTAGAAATATATAATATATAATTATATACAATATATTACGCAAAATATGACTGGTCGCCTAATTGTCATCTAGGCGGGCGACTTGCCGCCTAAGCAATATGGCGATTGGCTTGTGCTTAGAAAAAATACTTCTTCTCATTTTAACTGTCTTAAATGACTTTTTAATATTTTATTTAGATGAATGTAGTAACATTTAAATTATATTAAGAGGTCGTTTGATAACACTAAAATTGACTGAGCCAACCGAATCTGGTGAAATTGGTGAAATTATGACAGAAGCGGTTGAATTCGCTGAATCAACTAAAACATTATATATTAATAATAAATTAAAGAAAAATTATATGAAAAATAGTTAAAATAGTCCTCTCTAACAACTTCAACCAATTCACCCAGAAAATAATTCTACAAAGGAGAGCCCGGTGCACGAAGTCATCCCCACAAGGCGAGTTTCGGGGGAAAGGTCCCACCACAAGGGTGTATGAGGAGCAAGCCTTCCTTTGTCAATATTTTTTCAAGAGATCATTCCCAAGAATTGAACCAACTGAACTTTCGGTCGTACAAAAACACTTAACTGGTGCGCCAAGGTTTCCCTTTACTCAGAAAATAACTTTAACTTTAAATATTTTAATTATTACACAATTCAGCAACGAAATAAAAATTACGTGTTTGATAAAAATCTGGTTGATAAGACTAATAATAGAGGCTATCAAATGGGCTTCTAGATATGTTACACATATCACGATGCACTTTGTGCCCTCACACTCATTTTTTTGCATCCTAAATTTAATTTGGTCGCAAAGTACAATAATATTCAACTAAATGACAACATTACCTCAGTGCCACAAAGGCTCTCACCTACGGTGGGGTAAGGGGGGTCAAATGTACACAGTTGTACCCCTGTACTAAAACACATACAGACTGTTTCCGGTTGATGATGAAAATCACGTTGAAAATTCAAAATTGCATTTGGACTGACTACTGCTTCATAACAAAGAAACACAAACAGTTTAGTGAGCCATTTTGCTTTATTCCATCATATTCCCAAGCTAAAAATAGTGAGTCTTTGGCTCGGTGGCTCCATTGGAAATCATGGAAATATATTCAACTAAATAAATATAACAAAAAATACTAAAGTAGAAATTTATCTATTTGTAATGTATTTTGTGTAGTATATACTCCGTATATATTTGGGTGCATGGATATATTGAAAAAACCATAGATTATTTCAATGTCGGAACTCACTTTAATTGAAGACGGTTGCTTTCATTTTAAACCAAGCCAAATTGAAAAAGCTGTCAGAACTTGAACGGCCACTGAATTGTATCAATACTTCTGAAAAACTGAACAGTAATAACATTAAATAATACTCCCTCCGTCCCATAATTAAGTTCCTACTTTTCTTTTTGGGATGGTCCATATTAAAGTTCCTACTTCAAACCTTTCCTTATTTGGCAAACGATTTACACCAAAACAGTGTCAAACAGTGCCAAACAGTGTCAAACAGTGTTCAAACAGTGCACTCCACAGTAAAGTCAAATTTATTTCTTAATATGTGTGAAGTCAAACTAGGAACTTAATTAAGAACCGGAGGGAGTACGTGAGTAATAAAATGGTTGCTTTATGCTCGAGCCCTTTCAACCCACTTTTTACTCATTTTTTTGGGCGGGAAAAGAGCTTACTTTTTATCTTCCTTTTGCATAGAAAAGAGTTGCCATTTGTCATCATGCCCACGTTTGCCAGACAACTTTATGCATGTACTACAGTTTAACTGAGTTTTGGAATACTTTGTTTCTTTTCCAAAATCAGTTATGTCTGTTATTCTTTGACTGGCCTTCAGGATGAATGAGTATTTATCTTCATAGTCTATGCATTGCTAAATGTTCTTTTCATATTTCCTACTAGCATAAAAATTTCTTATGCAGTGTAAAAAAACGCCAAAAGAGGCAGCAGCCAGATGGCCAGAGTGACTTCTCTGGAAGTCTGCAAACATCAAATGGGACCGGAGATTACTTGAGGGACAAGAACTGCGTGTCCTCTGATCCCAAAGACATCCATAAGGTGAAGTTTTGAAGGATTTTGTTTCTTTGAGCTAATCTATGCATATTCAGTTTTTGTAATTAGGGAGCTTTTGGTTTAGGTTATAATATCATATGCCAAGGAATCTCACTCAGTATTATCAATAGCGGATAACAGATTATGGTAGAAAACTAAAAAACAGACAAACAATTATATAAATGTAGTGGATTGCGTTGCCCTAAACAGGGGAAACATAAGATTAGGTAAAAATGAATTACATACTACCTATGCTAATTATATATACTACTATACTAGATGTAAGAAGTAATGTAACAAAATAGATTCTAGTAATATTAAAACAAGTAAACCACCAAAATTCAAAATTTTCTTAAAATAAAGTCTTCTTAATAAACTGAATAATTAGCAAAAACAGCAACCAATTTGTCTAAGAGATTAAGAGGAGTGGGAGAACAGGAAAAAATTAAAAGAAGTCCAAGAAGGAGAGAAAAACTTACATGAAAGATGGCAACTTTGAAGAGAAGGGTAAGAGTTTGATTTGTGATAAGAAAGAAGAGATGAAGTGGTTTTGGACTCTGGGAAGTACATGACCTCTTATTGAAAACTTCTCAGCAGAAGAAAATTCTAAGAAACTTTTGGAGGCAAATAGATTGTCAAAGCTGCAACAATTCCTTGGGCGGCTAATGCATTTGCCTCCTGAGGCGTGAAAAATGGAAATAAGTGAGGAAGGCGTGTTCTCTATGACATCGGTTGTGCTCAAGTTAAATGTTGCAATCTTTTCATTGCATCTTTGCGCAAGCCTAGTCGTGTCACATGCGCACTTTTAAAACCAAAGACTCAATCATGGTTTAAAGTAGAAGTTGAGGCCCACGGCTCAAGGCGCGACTCAATGGAGAAATATCACGCTGAGGCTTCAGCCTTTCTCTGATGACGAGAAGCGTACAGCCGTACACTTTACCAGCTCGAGGCGTGTGAGGTGGTGCTTTATGATGCGGGTGAGGCGCATGCCTTGCGTTTCTAGAAATATGCTTCTTTTTATATAGATCCTGGCCCAACAAGACTGATCTTTGGATTGCTCTAAGTTTATAAAATAAGCATCTATGCATTGGACATTAGCAAATAATTGAGGCGTAAAAGCATTAGGAGTTAATATATATTTCTAATATATAAAATGTGAAGTTGTGATAAGTACACAGAGAATTGGAGTAGAAATATTATTGATATTGTAGAAAACAAGAGGAATACAATGGAGGCAAATCCTAGAGGCCCCTATCCCTCCCAATCCCAATTCTTCCCAAATCCCACCCTACTCCCTTGCTTCCATGAGACTCCTCAGAGGTTCTTTCTTCTGGAATTATCGATGTGTTGGACGCAGATTTGTTGTTGCTCAACTCATGGTCTGCAAAAAGCCCTATGCAACCTTCTCCAAAAACCTGACAGCCCACATCAGCATCCATTGCCCTTAAAGGATCATCAAAGATATAGACCTCAGAATTAGAATAAACAACTCGTGCCATGTATACTCTTTGTATACTCTTTGCTTCTGGCCTCCACTAATATGGAATCCTTTTTCACTAATTTCAGTAAGATCACCACCAGTGAGCAATTGCAGATCCTGTTGTAAAGCAGTTACATCTATTGCCTTCTCATATCTGGAAGGTTCAAACTTCAAACCGAGAGCCAAATTTTATGTGTTCACGCATTGTTGCTTTAAAGACCCCAAAAAATGGTGGCACACAGGCAACTGTTCCTCTAAGTAGGACACTAGCATCTGAAACTGCTGGTACCTCATCAAGCAGTACTACAACTACAACAGTTGGGAGCAAGGAATCAAGCATCTCCTTAGTTGGGCTGGGATGAAACCTAAATAGAGAGTAGGTAGGATACTTGTTCAGTCTCTTTTCAGAGACTGACCTATCAGCAGCAAGCATAAATTCTTCTACCATATGATGCACTCCAACATCGGCAGGATAAGGCGGGGAAGTATCAATCTGAAATTGAACTTCACCAGGCGCATGAGCGCATCATCAACACTTTTAGAAACAATTTAAATGCTCATTTCTTTCTCTTCAATTTCTCCGGATCGCGGAGAGATAATGCCTTCAGATGGCGGTTGCCGCTTATTAACATACTCCAAACAGAACGGTGCAGCTTGCGACGTGTGAGAATCCGCTTGCGATAGAGTCTGCGAACGGAAAGATACTGTTCGCTGCGAAGTAGATAACAGGAACAAATTGCTGGTGACTCAGACAGAACCTGCGATGAAATCTATGATCAGACAGAATTTGCTCGCAATGATGAAGAGCCATGGCCTTTAAATTGTTGACGACTTGTTCTCGATACGTCCTCTCGTATCCCGACAAAATTTCTGAAAGAGCAAGTTGCGCGTCTCTTCTATCGATGTGCGCAAGTCGCACAGCTCATCCACTGCTGTACGCACCTCCGCTAGGTCACACTCTATCTTATCCGGTCGCTTCTCTATCCTGGATCGGTTGAAGGTCTTCGACTGGTAGATCGATTGTCACTGCTCTGATACCAATGGTACGTACACAGAGAATTGGAGTAGAAATATTATTGATGGCCAATTCGAGAGGGCCCCTACCTCTCCCAGATCCCAATTATTCCCAAATTCCAGCCTAACCCTCTCCCTTTTCTATTCCTTCTATTTATTCTTTTCCCATGAGGCTTCTCCTCAATCTAACTAATTACTTGGCCCAGCCCACTTCCTTTTTTATACCTTATTAAAATATTCATTACTATTTCTATTACTTCTCTCGCCATAAGCCCATAAGTTCAGGTCCGTAATTCCGTATCAAGTTGTCTAAGCAAGCTTCTTCCTATGTTTCTTCTCTTGCGTTTCTTTTCTCTTTTTTCGATGGTTCAACAAAAAAGGAAAAGTAAAGAAGTTGGGACCCAATGACCCATGGTGGGAATGGGGAACCCAAAAGAGAGATCTTGTTTGGAGGCAGGTAAGAGTTCTGAACATTAAGTTACTTTTATGTATTCTAGAAAATCAAAGTTTTGAATATCAAGTTTTTTATGAATTCGTAAATATTATATGCTATTGCATTTGTTGTTATGTCATAGGGAGTCCTATGTATCATTTAGAGCATCTATACTTATAACTTGTATGTAGCACATGCAGCTTATACCTTTTGAACCTTGGCCGCAATGGAGGTGTTTTGAATTCATAGGTAAAATCGCATTGTAACTGCAAAACATCAGGAGCGCTACCCTTATTTCATCTACTCCTTATATTTTTAAAATGTTGTTTTCTGTATATATATTTTTAAATCTTATCATCATCATCATCATCATCTCAATCTTATCTTTATCTTATCTTTTTTATCTTATACAACAACAACATTACCTAGAGCCGCAAAGGCTCCCACCTATGATGGGGTAAGGGGGGTTGAATGAGAGAACCTATTGGTTTTATGAGTTTAGAAGGAATGTGGGGGTGGGGGACGAGTATGATGTTTCGTTGTCTGGTTCTGTTACTTCAATATAAGCTTCTCCTTTCATAAAAACTAGCTGGCCAGATGGGTCTGCTTTTAGGGATTATTTAAGATACCCTAAGAAATGGGTCGAAAGATGGGTCAGCAGCTAGGTAATGGTGGATCAGTTATTCCAACAACCCTAAAGACCCCACATGGTGTCATAATGCCACACCGTGATCTGCCATAGCGGCCACCTTGCATAGCTACGATGATTCTGCATCACACTTGTATCATCATGATCTGCTCAAATCCACAACCACTATATGCCTGTAGTTTCATAAGTACATCTTCATTCCTATCCTTTTTGTGTCCGCCTTTTTATTGTAGATTAAGCTTGTTCAAATCTGAAACTTGTAGATAAGGGAATTGCATTCCGAAATAAAAAAGCTGGAAGACCGGAAAAAAGGATTGGAGGTTAGTTTTGATCATTTTGTAATTGATGATTAGAAGTGTGTTTGATATTTCGGTCTGTGCTCTATCTTATATTCTTATGTTTTATTTTTGAAAAATTTATTTTGGATTAACATGCACAAAAGTAGGTGGCATCCTAAAGAGTTGTAAATCCACAGTTACATTTACAAAAACGTCACATCACAATATTCATAGTGAACGATCCTGTATAGAACTTCCTCATCATGAGCCTCAAACCTAGTATGCTACCTTCCAACCCTGAAAACAACACACATTTTCCTTAATTCCAGAAAAATGCCGCATGAGGTCTTTTCAGAAGCCATTGAGGGACAATACATTAATAGGAAAGGTAGTAGAAGAGATGAGATGGAATGTTGAGGGCTTGGAATATCCTCATGGCCAACAACAACAACAACAACATCCAAGCCTTAGTCCCAAAAGATATTGGGGTCGGCTAACATGAATCGATACATGATAACACCACCAAAAGAAAAAGAAAGAAAATAAAGATAAAAAAATAAGCTATTGGGATGTATGAGCATCCAAGAGATGGTACATAGATTGTGATCCCATGTTAAACAGGATTGGACATTTATAGGGTGGTTTGTGAGGCATCCTTTAGCTTTATCATTCTTGCACACTAATTGTTGTGTATTCGCATGCTATTAATTGAATGTTTGTTTCCAACGATATCCTATTGTTTCTAGCAAATCTGCTTGTGCTTCATGCATATCAGGCTATGAAGAGCTGAGGCCTGAGGGTATATACTCCCAACACCAAATACCATTTTTATGCCTCTTGGTGTTGTGTGTATATTCAAATGAGCAAAGTAATGTGTCTATAGTCTCAGGAGCAAATTTATCTGATGTTAAAAGTTAAAACTTGTCTAGGCAATGTCATGCTACTGTCCAAACTATTTAAAATAGTTTTCAGTAATACTTTGGTTGTTGTTAGGTCTACCTGGAAGATAGATCCCAAGAGGCAGAAAATCTGACCTTTAGAGTTAAAGATCTTGAAATAGAGTTGATAAAAGAAAATGAGGAGTGTAAAAGGTAACCACGTTAAATCTATCTTCAACATGACTTTATCTTTGTAATTCTACGTTTAGTGTGTTCTTGCAGCTGATCTGTGTCTTTAACAAATTATGGTTGTGGTTTGTTCCAATTCAAGGATTACAAGCAAAATTAAGAAGTTTACTGAAGCACATAAGCGTCTTTCTCATTTACACGATGAAGTCAAGAGGTATCCTTTTGTGCAAAACACCTTTCTTCTTCCTCAAATGATTTTTATCTCTGGTTTTCATCATTTCTTTTTCACTATTTATTGATTTTGTTGCGAGAGTATGGCTTAGAGGGAGCAAAGGGCGAATATTTGTGTGGACGATTGATATCTTCTCTCTCGTTTTCTTTATCTTTTTTATCTTCTTTATCTTTCTTATGTTCTTAACTTCTTATGTTATTTTTATCATTTATCTTTCTTATATTCTTTTTATCTTATCTTTATCTTTATCTTATCCTTTTTATCTTACCTTATCTTCTACTTTTTTCTCTTTCTTTTCTCTATTTGGCTCTGATGTAATGGACGATTCATGTTAGCTGAGGGCTGACCCCAAAATCTTTTGGGAACAAGGGTTTGAGGTTGTTGTATTGATTTTGTTGCGCTAATCAATTTCTTTCTTAAAATCCTGTACTAAAGACTTGGTTGTGGCTCTATAAACTTGTAGGTCAGATGCTCAACTTCAAAAGCTTGGTGAAAAACTGATCTTAAATGCTAGTGGTGCAAGCGGAGATGATTTAAGTTTAAATGCAGTAACAGATGGAGAAGCTAAAAGTATTTGTCCCACTATCTGTGGCAACATGAAAAATAACATCTCCCCACATAAGAAAAGGTCACAAGTGAACGTGGCAGATGGGGAGTCACCAAGTCAAGGTATCGAAGGTTCTTTTTGTTTGTTTCATGTTTAAAATCCTCTTAAAGAGGCAAGTGAAGTACTAGAGATCTAAAATAATGTTGTCCTCCTTTTTAATGTTGTCCCACTCTTTTTTCCTCCCATTTATGAAGAACAACAAATGGTTGAATATTCTTTAAATGTCTATTTCCATATGAAATGTCTTAATAAATCTTTTCACTGATCTGGCTTTCATGTTTTGGTCCATCTGTATCTGAATGAGTCATTTAATTAAAATGTCTTCATTATGGTAGTTAATCGCGGGCACTTGAGATTGCCCAAGTCTATGAGCTTGTTGTACCTTGGCTGTCTAGATCCTGTGCAAGATAGGAAATTACATTGGATTGGTGGGAAACTCATGCTATACCATGACATTGCTAGTGGATGTCCAGATTTTATCTTGTGTTTGGATTGTAGCTAGTGGGATAAGATGGAGTCAGAGTGTCAGATAATACATGTAATAGTTTAGTTTTCCTTTTTGACCTTTTATAAGGCATAACTGATCAAATTACTCAAACCCAGTTACCCAGGAAACTTGTCCCTAAAATTTAATAGATTTCTAATTTAACTTTCTTTTAATGTGCTTCATAAATGAATACTTTGATATGGGTGTGCTTTATTATTATTATTACTATTATTATTACTAATTACTAAATTTATTACCGTACTATTGATTTAGTTTCCTTTATAAGTATTAGTATTACTATCCTATTGTTATTAGTAATAGTTCCCTATTAGTATAGGAAGTCTATTTTCGTTCATATTCCTAGCTGCAGTATTGTAATAGGTTAGGGGTTACTCTACTAGTCTACCAAGAATCCTGGAATTAGTATAAACGGAGGTGCTCTATTCATTAATGATATGATCATTATTTTTGGAGTTTGTCCTCTGAGTCTGGACAAGGTTGGACACCACCTTCTCTTGCCTAGGGTAGAGAAGTTCTTCAGCTTTATTGATTTACTTGTGTTTTTTTAAGGAATTTTATCAATCCAGGACATAAAAGATATACTCCCTCCGTCCCCTTTTAAATGGGACGGGAGATGGTGGCACGGGTTTTAAGAAAAGTGAGTTTGTGTGGTTGATATTAATTGATAAAGTAAGAATAAAGTAAGAATGATTTTGAGCCACACAAAGTTTACCAAATAAGGTATGGGACAATTAAATAGGGACATCCCAATATGGTAAAACGGGACATTTAAAAGGGGACGGAGGGAGTATTCACTATCAATGTCAGACCTACAAGATAAAGTGTATCGATATAGGGCCCGAATGATCGAAAACTATCAATCTAAGACTTAAAGTTCCATGAATTTTTATTTTTTGTATTTTATAAAATTTCAATATTATTTAATCTTATTAAACTAATAAACTTTTGTGAAGAAAAAATTATCAAAATTAACAATGGAATTAATAAAAATTAAAAAAAATTAAAATCAATTTTATTTTAGGTTTTCTATTGATAGTTTTCAATCATTCGGGTCCTATATCAACACAATGTATCTTTGAGGCTCTTATTGATTGTGAATGTATCATTCAGAACCTAGATTAATAAAATTCCTTTTTTTTTTTTAATCTCACTACCACGTCTGACACTACGGGCTACTTTTCCCTTCAAGCATGAGAGCAAGCTTGATGCCCGAGAGGGGAGTAATAATATGGACGAGCTTTATTATTATTATTATTGTTGTTGTTGTTGTTGTTGTTATTAGTTTTCTCTATAAGTATTAGTATTATCTTCCTATTGTTATTAGTAACGGTAGTTCCCTATTAGTGTAAGAGTCTATTTCAGTTAATATTCGTAGTAGCAGTATCATAATAGCCTATGTCAGGGTATTGGTATAAATAAATGTGCCGTAATACTAGTTTACCAAGACTCTTAGAACTAGTATAGTGCTCCATTCATTAAGTATACGACCAATATTTTTGGAGTAATCCTCAAAGTTATGATAAGGTCGGTTGCCACCTTTTTCCTAGGACGAATAAGTTCATCTTTACTGATTTCATCGTTCATTAAACCTCCATAATATGTTTGTAACATACTTTTGTAAAATAAGCATGGACACTATTTTTGGGGGGCAATCAGTGTAAAAATTAATTAATGCTTCATTGAAAAAACCAGTGCCCCCTTTTAAAATGTTCCTTGTAATAAGGACCAGAGGGAGAAATATCTTTGTTGCTTTGGATGTCACATGGTGTCACTTGATTGTTTGTAAATTGTCTCCATAATGCTCACTATTTTCTGCTTTTCTTATTCTTCTCTTGTTTATAATATGACTTATTTTGCTGGGTATTCTATACTACAGGTAATGAGAAGATAAAATTGGGAGATAACCCTTCTCGAAGAAATATGCTTCAGATTCAATATAGTAATGAGAAGAAAACGAAGGCAGATATTAATAGCAAAAGTAGTTCCCAGAATACTGAATATGAAGAAAGACCTAAAGGCTGGGGAAATATTTCTCCTAACAGGAGAATAGTAGAAAAGGTGCTTTAAAATTTCCTCTTTTCCCCACCCTATTCACACTTCCCGTCTGCAATTATATCCTTGCAAAAAGAGCAGAATGAGAATTGGTGTTCTGTTTTTTCTCCAGAAAATAGTTCCATTTGTTTGGTAGTTAATTCTAGGAGTATATTCATATTCACTTTTCGTATATGACACAAGTTATTCAAATGCTTTGCTACTATTTTCAGTTATTTTGCATGTTGGCATCTATAAGATTTTACTCTACTCTGCCCTCTATAGTGTGAAATATACCGTTTTGTCTTTTATTATGTGACATCAATATTATCTAGCCCCTCAAAATTCTGCAGGCCAAGGGTGTTTCTGATGCTGCTTCCCTTTTGATGCTGCCTTCGACAGGAATGGCAGCTCATGCAACGGATGAAGTAGATGTTGAAGTTGTTGAAATGGAAGAAAAATATGATATGCTTGAAGATTCTTCTACAGTAGTGGCTGAAGAGGCTGTTTATGATGATAGAAAGTTGCTTTATCTACCACCCCCCACCACCGCTTCCAACCTATAAGAATTCTCTGTCACAGGTTAGCTATGTATGTTGGTATATAGACTTTAGGTGGCACTGTTGCAGCCTGAGCAGAACTTTTTAGATATATGTATTACCCCCTCCGCCCCTCATTAAGAACCTAGTTTAAATTCACGAGTTTTTAGGAAATCTAAAAGAATATGCCCTTCAATAAATTTAGGGAAATTAACTTTAAATAATACTTCCTCCGCCCTGAATTGAATTGTAATTTGTGGATCTTAAGGTTGACTGACGATAAAGTTGATCATCCCTGCGGATAGTTAAATCAGTTTTAATAATTATAATTTACATATTCGGAAATTGCATAGAAAGTTCTTTAAAGTTGCAAGATCCAAATTAGAATATAACAAAAAATTGATATGCTAAATAAGCAGATAAATTGAAAATGCGTTGATCAAGAAAAGTTGACTTTGTTAATCATTTTGGGGCGGATGAAGTATCAAGTATCACTGGTAAACCAATAATAATACATATTATAGAAATAACTATTTCATAGCCCAACTATTCAAATATATAACAAAAATGATACGGAGTTGCTTTCTGACCTCAATGTCGGTCATTGAATCATCAAAAGCTTATTCTAAACCATCAAATAAAGTTTTTATGTTAAAGGCATATCATATTCTTATAGTTACAATGGTCAGATTTGACGCCAATAAGGTGCTCCATTTTTTATTTGAATAGTTGGGGTATGAATTAGTTATTTGACTTATTTCTATAGTTTTTATTGTTATTGGTTTAGTTGATATTATTGAAAGTTATTTTCCCCTAAAAGTATGATAGAGGAAATGAGTAATTAATGGCTTACTATTCATAGAGGTAAACAAATCTTTTACTACCCAAATATCACCACAAAAGGAAGCGTGAACTTAATTTTGGGACATACGAAAAAGGAAAACGAATAATTAATTTAGGGACCGAGAGTACATATTATGGGAAATTGACAAAATGAAAGCACATTTGGAAGGGCGTATAAATTGTTACAAGTTCTGATGTCAGAGTACACAGGCATGGAAGTAGAGAAATATTCTCTGTCCTACACTCCTACATTAATGTCACATTTGACGCTAATGGTTAAAGATGTTGGATATTGATATCATCGTGGTTGTTGATGTGGTGGTGGTTATTATTGTTACCATTGTCGTCAGCACCACCGCTGTGGTGGTGGTTGGTGACAATCTCACTTTGTTGTTCTATGGATTGAATACAGAAGTAACAGTTTCACTTTCTCGCAGTTCAATGGTGGAGATGAGAATGTAGACGTAGATGGGGGTGACGAAGAGACAGCTGAGGTGGATATAATTTAAAAAACGTCTCCCAGTTCGAGGGTGAAGATGAGAAGGTAGACGTAGATTAGATGACAAAGAGACAGCTGGGGTGGATCCGTGGATATAATATAATTTAAATTATTGTCTTAGCTCTGATGCTTCTAACTTTATTGTGGTATATATACTCCTAGTTTTGGGCATGGCCATCTTATATTTACTTATTAGTTGGACTAGAGAAACTCACAAAACGAGTCTTGTGCATGTTTAGGGGGTTCGGTACGATATACTGAATATTTTCTTTCATACCTTTGCCATACCAAAACTTTCGGTATACAAAATTTATATACCGTTACCTTACCGAAGTTTCGGTATACCGCATTTCGGTATACCAAAGTTTCGGTTCGGTAACGGTACAATATCAGTAAATTACCATGCATGTCTCCCAATACAACAAATTATCATAGACTAACGAAATATGTCATGTATTCAATTGTTACTAGTGAATACATCTAAATCATTGTTACTAGTGAGTCTAGTGACACATTTAATCTATTATTAAATGTTACAAAATACAATTAATAAGGTATTGATGTCAATCCATTATTGAACAATAATTATTATTAGCATATTTAAGCAGTTCAATATGTCATGTATTCAATAAGTATTAAAAAAACAGACATTCTCCTAAAATAACTTGAACAATATAGATATAATTAAATCAATAGTAATCTCTAACAAAAATAAAGAAAATAATTCAAACATGGGTATAAAATTGTTTATTCCTAATATATATGGTATTGTGTATTTCGTCATTTTTTATGATAAAAAATATTTGATTAAGACTTTCAGACAAAGTTGTATGCCTCAACACGCGAAATCTCTATGTTAGTGGTGTACTTGGGTCGGGCCACCCGGCCCGTGGACTGGCCCGGCCTGCTACTATGCGGGACCAACCCGGTTCTTGGTTCCGGGTCGGGCCTAGGCCCGGGGGGAGGGCGGGTCCGGGCTCGGGTCTCACATTTGGCGAACTGGCCCGGTCGGGTCAGGCCCTGGTCCGGGCCAAATTGTTTTTTTTTTTTTTTTCGTTTTTTGGGGTTCCACCCGGGTTGGGCTTGATGGTTAAGAGGGGTGGGGGGGTTAGGAAAGCAAACAAAAAATACCCAAACTGGAGGCCCGGCCCGGTGGCTACCTAGGCCGGTCCCGGGTCCACCAATCCTGAACCGCCGGCCCGCTCGGGCCTAGGCCCGACCTGGCTCGGCCCGGGTCCATCACTACTCTATGTAGATACACTCGTCACATAAGTGTATCCCTCTTCACTCGTCAGCTACTCAGTGGCTCAGCCATTGTGACCCGCAACCTCTTGGAACAAGATGAACTTGTTTCTGAACATTAGTACATTACTCATTAGTCATTAGGGTTAGTTTGTTTGAATGTTATGTAGTAGAAGCCTAGAAGGTTATAGTGGGTTTGGGAAATTGGAGCTTATATTTTTGTGTTTTGGTATTTGTAACCAACCTAAGTATTCATTTTGGGCTTTAAAATTGTAATGGATTTTTAAAATGTTTTAGAATTGAAAATAATTCTTGGGTAGGGAGTCGGTACGATATTATACCGGTATACCGCGGTATTTGAAAACATTTACTGTTACCGTACCGAAATAAATCGGTACGGTATGATACCGTACCGAAAATGACGGTATATCAATATTACGGTATTTTTCGGTATGATAAGTGCGATATACTGATTTTTTCGATATTTTTGCCCACCCCTATGCATATTAATGACATTTGGACTCCCCATTTAATTCTTGGGTTCACTGGCTGCCTAACCAAGAATATTTTTTTTAAGGAAAAGGATAAATAATATTATAGCTCAACATTTCAGCTATCAGTGATAGAAACACTACAACACATACTAAAATGTCAATGTTTTGGTATGCAGAAAACTAAAATAAATAATGGAACCAGAACCTAACCAAAAATATTGAAATACGAAGATAATTGTTTAATTTTTATATCTAGCGTTTTAAGGTAGAAAATAATGGATGCGTTACGTTATGAATGTTGAAAGAAAAAACGATTTTTAACTATTTGGAACTCAATTCCTTTGTATGTTAGTATGTGGTCATTGGCTAGGGTTAGACTGGTCCATGGTATGTGCCCATGTGGTGGTGGCCGGTGGAATTGGAATGGGGTATGGCGGTAGTCATGGACCCGGGCCGGGCCAGGCCCGGCCGGGCTTTTTTTTTTGGGGAAGGAAGGCCCGGGACCGGCCCGGGTAGCCACCGGGTCCGGTCCGGGTCGGGCCTCCGGTTCGGTCATAATTTTTTTTTTTGCTTTCCTAACCCCCCCACTCACCCCCACCCCCCAAACCCCCAAACCCCTCCTAACCATCAAGCCCAACCCGGCTAACCCCAAAAAATGAAAAAAAAATTAAAAAAAATCAATTCGGCCCGGGCCCGACTCGGCCGGGCCGGTTCGCCAAATACAAGGCCCGAGCCCGGACCCGCCCCCCCACCGGGCCTAGGCCCGACCCGGACCCGGACCCGAGAACCGGGCCGGTTCCGGGCCCGCACAGTGGCGGGCCGGTCCCGGGCCGGGCGGCCTGAACCGGGTCCATGCCTATATGGCGGTACGTGGCTGGTTCTGGTTTATCAGTATGACGGAACATGGAAAATTGATTTGAGAATATGAGTCTGTTTGGATTAGGGGTGGGCACCATCCGGTTTTGGGACCCCATTTATGGTTCTGGCCTGGTCCTGGTCTTGTTTGATTTCTTTTTCATTTTACTATAATGAGGAACATTTTTATATATTGTAAGCATAACCATACATGCCTCATATTGACATCAACCTATTTATGACAATTAATTAATGGAATAATGACATAAATGCTATATACTATTTCAATGAACAAAAATAGGAATGTGTTAAGGAACTAGAGTGCCGCTTTTCTCTCTTGCCCTAGACATTTTAGCGTGGATGGGTTCTTCTCCATGGATTACATTGGCTTGATTGGGCGTTTCTTCTTGGTGTTTTGGGATCATGTTCTCACAACCGCGGTCTCTCCCTAGCAGGTCTAGGGTTTGGTTTTTCCTTAGCAGATCTAAGGTTTGGTTCTTCCGGCCGGTGAGTCTCATTCACCTGTATCCAGCACTGGGATTGGATTTGAGGCAGATTGACAAGAATCCTTGCCCAAGCTTGACGACATCGAAGCCAGAGCTCGACGATCAATTTTATCGTGAGCAGGGTAGCAAGGGCATGTCAGCGATGAAGATGACCGCTAATGGTGGATTTGCTACGAGCGCGGGACGAGGAGAGTTGCACGGATTTCGAGCAGACCAGATGATGATTGACAATGGAGGATCAATTATAGTGGTTCCAAGGATACGACCTCCTCCTGAACCACCGCCACGGGTTGTGCGAGATGCTAGAGGCCGTGAAAGGTTTCCAATAGGTTTTCATTATTTTGTCATTTGGTTTCTTGTTATCGTCTATGTTGTTAGGCTTGTCTGTTTGTTAGCCTTGTTTTATGTCATTGAGCATGTTTGGATCTATGGGAATATGGATGGCTGTGTCAAGCCCGTTACATGGTTAGCGATTCGTGTTGCTTTTTCAGGGGTGACTGTTTCTAAGACTCATCATATGGTTTACAGTCGTAGTTGTTGGAGTCTAGTTGGTGTCAGATTTATTTTTCCTTTGATTGATGTAATGATCCTGAAACTTATGATATGAATAGAGACTAGTTTTCGTTCAAAAAAATGAACAAAAATAGGACTAGTTTTGTATTTGGACAAAAAAGATCACTTGTTAATGAAGCGATTGAAATGCCCTTATGGCCCTATCCTCTTTCTCCCTCCTTTGTTCATCGTTTCTCTATTATTGACCACCCTCTTTCTCCGTTCCATCGTTCAGCCATTTTCAGTCACACCCTCTATGTACTCACCGCTTGGTGAATTAACTTTCTATAAAAGTAACATATATGTACAATGAGACTGTGTAATTAGGAAAGAAAAAATCATACCATCATGTTCCACTATCATTAGGACATGAGGAGGTGGCGTAGTTAATAAGAAATGCGAGTTTATGTGATTGATACTGAATTGATGAATGTAAAAATAAAGAATGCTTTAGAATCATAAAATTATATCAAATTTGGTATAAGATAATCTTAGTGGAATAACCGGAAAAAATAAGACAACTTTGGCGGGAAAGAGGTGTACTACGTATACACATATACATAGTACATGTCACATTGCGATATACTATCACATGATTCAGCCCCGGGCAATGATTTCCCTTCTTTTCGTTAGAGCCACAATAATCTTTCGTACAACTAGTGCTGGACTCGGGCCGGGCGGCCCGGCCCGGAACCGGCCCGGTTACTGTTTGGCCCGGCCCGGCCCGGGGCCCGGTGGGTCCACCGGTTCGGTTCGGCCCGGCCCGGCTGCTGGGCGGTTCGGGCTCGGGCCCAGGTTTTGGTGAACCGGCCCGGCCGGTTCGGGCCCGGTCCGGGCCGGATTTTAATTTTTTTTTTTTTTTGAAATTTTTTTAAGTTTTAGGTTGGATTAGGTATTTTGGGCCATTTGAGGTGGTTTGGGATGGTTTGGGGTTGAGGGGTAGGGGTAGGGGATTAAATAGGAGAACAAAAAAAAAAAATTAATTGGGCCGGTTCGGCCCGGTCCGGCCCGGCCCGGTTTGGCCCGGAACCGGGACCGGAACTGGCCACCGGCGGTTCGGGCTCGGGCCTCCCCTTTCCTGGCCCGAGGCCCGGCCGGGCCCAGGCCCGAACCGGCCCGAGTCCAGCCCTACGTACAACCTGCACAACACTAAGCGCATATGAGAAACAATTGTGCTTTTATTTGACATCAAGTGCTTTTGCATCACTAAGGAGTGCAGTGTTACTAAGGAGTGCAGTGTTGCATACTCTGTTGTCTCATTACAAACTTTTCCAAGTAACAAATTCAATGGGAAAAATAAATCTTGGTAATAAAAAAGAGTTCAAACAGACCAATGTGATTAATGATAAATAAGCATGCCATACCCCCCCGACTACACCACGCCAATAAAAGTCCAACATTTACTTGATGTGTGATTTACTTCTCTTGATTAGGCATGGACAAGTTCCGGGCCGAGCCGGTCCAAACCGGGCTTTTTATTTTTGGGGGAGGCCCGGAACCGGCCTCTCTCACCCCCCAAAACACCTAGCCCAACCCGGGAAAAACAAAAAAATTGAAAAAAAGGCCTGAACCGGGCCCGGCCCGGCCGGTTCCTCTTTTTGCAGACCTGGAGCCCGCTGTATCATACCCCCGGGTCGGGCCACCTAGACCGGTCCCTGACCCAGTTGGCGGGCCGACACAATACCGGGCCGGGCCGGGCCAGGTCATGGGCCGGTCGGCCCGGAACCGGTCCATCCCTATACTTCATAAATGGTGTCATGGTGTCT